CCCAAAAAAAACCCAGTCAAAATCACATTTTAGGATTTAGAGTAGAGAAAACCAAATTTCAAAGTACAGAACACTCTGTAAGTTGGTCATCTTTCTAAATTATCCTCTTTTAAAACCAATGGTATTTATCTCAAGGCTGAGCCTATTGACAGGTGCATGGGGCTCGAGTTGAGGGGAGGGAGGGGGAATAGTAAACTGTGAAAGAAGAGCTCATACCAAAGAGAATAACTCAATAAACTTGAATTTGTGACTTCGACCATTTTTCCATTGTAGTCTTCATGTGTTGTCATTATTTCCACAGCTCTTCTGAGATCCCACAGTACAGGCTGCCGTACAGTGTGGTAGGGTTTGAAGTTGAGCTGATGAAAGATCTGGGAGTGCAGGTAAGTTGAGGTCATTGACTTGTAGTATAAGCTGTCCACTGTGACATAATTCTGGTGCACCCTTTGATTTTATTTGAAACCAGATTAAGGGCAAGGTGGGGAACGTTGTGTGCATACACCACTATAGCGAATAGTGTACACAAACCAGCATCTTTTCTAAAGTTGCAGTCTGTGCATAGAAATGGACCAAACTTTGACTGGTTGGCTGTATTCTGTGCGTGATGATTGCATGCAATTACCAGAGACCGCTCCATTAGCTCAGTTGCTATCCTGTTGAATTGCGGAGCGAATGGCTGCGGCTCGATTGAAAGTTGGTTGTTTTGGAGAGCTTTTAAGGCCCCCCACCTTTTTGGCTTTGCCTTATTGGTTATGGATGTCAAAACTGGGAAACCCCACCTCTTGATGGTGCAGAAAGGGATGTTAATTCTTTACTAAATCCAAAAGCAACTCCCAGAATCCATTCCTACCCGAAAGATGTGTTTTTCTCTTTCAGATTGTGACAAACAGATCTCTGGATAGAAGCGATCTTACTGTGCAGTCACTGAGACAACAGGGCTACAAAGCTATTTTCCTTGGCATCGGTAAGAATATTTTTGGCTAATTTTATCATTGTCTTTATCAGTAGGACATGAGCAGTGTTTGCTTGTGTGTTATTGGTTCATTTCACTTTCATTTCAATTTTCTGTATACTTTGTTGTTAAAAGAATGTTGTGGGATTTTACGTTTCGGGCATTGCAACCAAAACCCTTGTCATGTCCTTTCATCTTTTGCACAGATCTAAGTCATCTCCTGCTATTTTGAGAGAGGTTTATATCATCTTTGACCTTTATTTTAAGTACATGTTTATGTTTTGTTGGTTGGTGCTTTGATGGGGTCAGCTCAGTTATTTTCTCAGTATCAGCATCACTATTTTAAGCTGTATTCCTGGAACCAGGCACATGTAGCAGTCACCGACGTGTGGTTTAGTGGCTAAGCATTTGTCGTTGCATGCAGCAGATGTGAGCCCCATTACCATGAGCGGGGGACTCTTTTGAGTATCTCTCTATCTATCTTTCAACTTGGACATTGTATAATAACTCTGAGCCTGGATTGGCCCTGACAGGCAAGGTCAAACCTGCCTCCTGAATGGTCTAAAGTGTGTCGATGCGGGCATAAAAACGCACACACAGAAGAGACAAATTAGTTGCCATAATGCTGGCTCATTGTCTGCATCAATTTATAGTCGAATCTTATCTCACATTGTATTACAACAGGATTACCCGACGCCAAGAAAATCGACGTATTCCGAGATCTCACTGTGGAGAACGGCTTTTACACATCCAAAGAGTTTCTTCCCCTTGTGGCTGTGGCAAGTAAACCAGGTACTACAATAACGCAGAACTTCTGCATGCATTCACTGTAATTAGTTATTTTTGGTTTACAGATTGGAACATGTAAATTGTTATTTTGTCATTGTCTTGATTAGTGTGAAGTTGAGGATTTTTGTGTTGTACAAGAGAGACTTGAGTTATTCCCTTTTGAAGAATGTGTCCTTGCTTCTCTACTGGGATATTGATAGCCCACAAATCCTTTAGTTGGTCTCATCATTCAGGGAAAAATCAGCCGCTCTCCTGGATTTTCTGAATTATGTTGATAGAGGTGTAATACAATTAGTTATAGGTTCATTTTTACCGTGTTTATCACTTCACCCCGTATGTTGTTCCCAAAATACAAAGTTACGACCCACTCCACTGCGACTCCTACGGCAACCCTGTATGTTGCGCATTGAATCAGAAAGTTCAAATTGGAGGCTCAACATTACTTTTAGTTTTGATGGAGGGGGGTTGTAGTTTTTCGTCGTTGTTGTATTTTATTGTTATTATTAAAATTATTGTCATCATTATTATTATTATTCAATCAGGTTTGTGTAGCTGCAAGACCCAGCAGCTCCCTCCACTGCGTGGCAATGTGATAGTTCTGGGTGCAGGAGACACAGCCTTCGACTGTGCTACGTCAGCGCTACGTTGTGGCGCCCGCAGAGTGTTTGTGGTCTTCCGGAAGGGCTTCACCAACATCCGGGCCGTGCCAGAGGAGGTGAGTTCTTGGGGTGTAGAAGTAATATCATGTATCATCATCACTGCCTTTCTCACCCTGGAACTGAGTATAGGCTACGAACAAGCACTTTCCACATTTCCCAATCCTGGACTAGCCTCTTCGTATTATTCCGTGTCTTCCTACTTTTCTGTACATCGTTCTCTGTGACTCTTCTCTGGGTTCCACTTAGCCTTCCCTCTAACCCTTGGTATTCCAATCCAAAACTTAAATAAGTCAAGAGATGTTAAAAAATAAAGGAAATTGATTATTTTTTGTTAGTAGTTATGAAGTAAAAATCAGAAGCAGTACTACCAGCAGCAACAACAACAATATAGAACAACAACAACAACAACAACAACAACAACCTAAACAACCCAAACAACAACAACCACAACAGCATTAACAACAAAGAGAATAACAACAGCAGTAGAAGCAACAACAACACAGCAGCAACAACAACAGCAGCACAGCAGCAACAACAACAACAACAACAACATAACAACTAAAACAACAACACCAACAACAACAACAACAGCAGCAGCAGCAGCTACATCGAAAACAGGCTGTTTTCTCTATTTTCTATTTTTTCAACTATCTGCTCAACTACTTGCTCCTCTATTTTCTACTTTAATTTCTCCTCACCACAGATGGAGCTGGCCAGAGAAGAGAAGTGTGAGTTCCTGCCCTTCCTGTCACCCACAGAAGTGCGTGTGAACAACGGTCGTATCACGGGCATGCAGTTTGTGCGCACGGAGCAGACAGAGGATGGACAGTGGGTGGAGGACAAGGAGCAGATGGTCACTCTCAAAGCAGACTTTGTTATCTCTGCCTTTGGCTCAGGACTCACGGATAGCTCGAGTAAGCAGTTATGGAGGGATTCATTAGCGCCATTTTTCTGCATGTAGGGCAATTTTTCTCAATTTTTAAAAATCATTTTTTTCTTCTATTGAATTTCTTTCAAAATATATACATGTTATATGTATTTTTTCCGGGGGGAGGGGATCTTTTAGGGTCCCTTTGAAATACATTTTGTGTGAATTTTACAGAAAAATGTTTGCCAAAGTCACACAAAAATTTTTTAAGAACTCTCAAGCTTTTGAAGTGACCAAACTTTGGCAACCATTTTTCTCACTAATTTTTTACCTGACTCTAGAGGACCCCAACCTCTTTCAATAGCAAATATCTTTATTTCTTTTCCAGATAGATGGGTATTATTCTCATCAAAAGTGAAATAAATGAGTAAACGTTAAGTTGATAATGATAATTCAGTATGCTCAAAACCTGATGATCACCTGATGATCGCCTGATTCAACCGTGTCGTGACACAATATCTTTTAAAACAACCAGTAAAGGAAAATGCTCTTCTGTTTCCCCAGTGAAAGAAGCTCTCAGTCCAGTAAAACTCAACACGTGGGGCCTTCCGGATGTGGACACGACAGACATGCGCACAAGTGAACCGGATGTGTTCTGTGGTGGTGACATGGCTGGGGTGGCACAGACAACAGTGGAATCGGTCAATGACGGGAAGGTCGCTGCTTGGTCGATGCACAGATTCCTGCAGGTACTTCTTGACAGGGTGCTCCGTTTGGTCATTTTATATCATGTTGGACTGCGGATGGCCCTGACTTGAAACCCAGCCAGGACGCTTTCGAACTCGGATTATGTTGTTGAGTTTTTAAGGCTCTCAACCCATCTTGTTCGATCCTGTCACACAAACACACACACACACACACACACACACACACACACACACACACACACACA